TTTGGGTTGAAGCTTGCTATGAGTTTGGCTTGATTTACAAACTGCACATTTGTCGAAATTTTTGTACAAAATTGTACAATTTTTGTTTTTACAAATTTGTACGAAAAGTTCGTTTGCACAAAAACTGTGATGCCTCATGCCTCGTACAAAAACTGTACAAAAACATTTAGTGTGTTGAAAGCAGATAGTAGTTTGACAAGGTGACGTTCACGGCAGTTCCAGGTGCGAACACCAAACCCCGGTTGTTGCTGCCATGTTGTCGTCACTGGTAGCCCTGGTGCCGGCGCTGGGCGTCATGGAGGTGCTGATTGCCCTCGTCGTGCTACTCGTCGTGCGACATTACTATCGGTGAGTACATGCGGTGTTTCCAGTAGAGGAAGACATGTTTCGTGATTACGGTGAGAACGAATCTGAATTCACAGAGAAAGTTGAAAAGGCATTTCAAAACACGGCAGAAACGGCTCCTGATAGCCAGTAAAGCAGAACCCTTTTCGCCACAGCAGCAATGATTTTTCCTGAGCTGATTTACAACAAACTCATTCCATGGCATCGCGCGTCTAAACGAATGTGCCCAAGTTTCTCGATCCTTTGAGCATTATGTGTCACAATTCGTTTGAATGTGAATAGGCTAATCTGTGGCCGATTCACATCCAAACGAATGTGACACAATGCTCAAAGGAACGTGAAACTTCGTCACATTCGTTTCAACGTGATGTCACGTTCCTGGAATGAGAGTGAATGTATATATCATTGCTTACAGGACTGCGGGGTTCTGGTCCCGGAAAGGCGTGCCCTCCGCTCCGGGAGTTCCAATCTTCGGAAGCTCCATCCCATTCGTACTTCAAAGTGAATATCGAGGCTACAGCATGCAGCGCTTCTACAAGGACGCTCGAGCCAAGGTAATAATGCTCTCTTTGTACAAATTTAGTCAGTGCGTGCTCTCACATAATTTTGGGCACAACGTGCCTTTCCTATTTATTTGCTCGCAGTTTCGCTCAAAATTGATGCGCTTCTGCAGCGACCGCGGAAGTGGGGTGCAGGGGGGGCGGTTGGCCCCCCCTGAATTGAAACGGGGGAGGCGCCGCCCCCCTGTTTTTACCATTGTGGCGTCGCAAATTTCTGTATAGTGTCCAAAATTTAACCAAAACTCGCTAATATTTTCGTAGATTCGCTGGCTTTTAGCTCGCTTCGCTCGCCTCTCTTAGTACTTTCCACTAATTGATGACTTTTAACTGTATGCGCTCCATTATAGCTTGTACTTTTCATATTTCGATGGCGTTTAGCTCGCTACGCTCGCATTTCACTGACTTTGAGGGTCAAAAGCGGCCTCTTAACTATTGTAAATTCCACATTACACGCATCTTATAAGCCCCCCCTTTTTATCCTGACCCCCCCCCCCCACACACACACACACTGAAAAGTCTTGCCCCCCCAGTCATGAACTACTTCCGCGGTCCCTGCGCTTCTGCGTACCAATTTGTGCGAAAAAGTTCACTGTTATCCAAGTTGCGATACTTTCAACACAAAAACGTGCGATAATATCCAAAATGTGATTCCCACGAATCATTGCTCCCCAGATGCAATGACTTTTGTATCACAAAATTTTTGCAATGATCATCGCACATTTCTGCAATGAAAGTAGGAATTATTGCATAAAAATGCAATGATGGCACACAAAATCTGCACTCAATACAGTTTTTTGCAATGATCATTGCAAAATTCTGCGATGCAGCAGCTCATCACACCTTTTTGCAATGATCATCACAGAAAAAAGCGATGAAATTTGTATCACGCTGAAAGTGCGGTCTGCATCGCAAGTGGAATAACAGTGTTCGCATGCTCAAAATTGTGAGAGGCCAAGTACAATTGTACAAGTACAATTAGTAAGCTGGTGCTGTTTTCGTTTGCGTAAGAGATAAGCATTGTCAGTTGGTGATTAGGCGTCGAGGCGTACTCGAGGGCCTTAACCAGGCACAGCATACAGACACTACAAACCTAACTGTCAACACACACAATGCATGCTTGCAAGTACAAGTAAACAATTAAAAATGTCTATGCTTAGCAGGGAGTTATACGGCGCCAAGCATGCTTTGAAAAGTGTGCCCCTTTTTAATTTAAGGGACAGTTGGGTTTGTAGTGGACTTACTGTGATTCTTTTTTAAACGGGGCGATTTCTAAAAATTTCTTTTTTTCCAGGATCAACCGTGCTTTGGGTTATTCATCGGCTCGAGACCCGTTCTGCTGCTAACTGATATGGACCTCATCCGCGCGGTCATGGTGAAGGACTTCTCGCACTTCATGGACCGCGGACTGCCCTACGACCGCCAGGGGAGCCGCTCACGGCCAACCTGTTAAACCTTGAGGTAAGAGTCCGAGTGGAAAATTTTGACTTTCTGGCCTCCTCAAGAACACGTAAAATTTAACAGTTCCCGTTTTTATGGATAGCCTCTAGTAAAGACGTGGAAGATTTCCGCGGGAGTCTTTTGACCGCGTACCACCCGTATCAAAAGAGTCCGGTCGCTGTCACCCGGGTTTTTTTAACCCCTTTTTCCTTGAATCGAACGGTTAGACATTGAGGCCGAAACCCCCGGGTCGAAGGTGACCGATTCTTTTGCAACTTGTAAGACCAGGGGCAGTTTATTTACTGTTAAAGTGCACTTTTCGGATTAACAAATTGATTGATCGCTTGCAGGGCCCGAGTGGCGGTCGCTGCGCCACAAGTGACGCCCACCTTCACGTCGGGCCGCATGCGCGCCATGTTCCCCCTGGTGAGCGCGTGCGCCGACGAGCTGCAGCACGTCCTGGCCGCCGAGGCCGCCGCGGGCAAGCCCGTCGAGATGTTCGAGCTGCTGGCGCGCTTCACCACGGACGTCATCGGCACCTGCGCCTTCGGCATCCCGGTGAGTGCCACAAAAACCGCCCCACCGGGCTTTATAGCGCACCACTAAATGTATTTGAACAGTTTCGAACGAGGTCTCACTCAATTTTTAACATGCTGACTTTTTGTACAAATTTGTACGATAAAAACAGAATTTTGTGCGATTCTGCGTCCAAATCTGTACGAAAAGCACCTCGTGCGCACGAGACCACGTACAAAATTGTACAAAAGAATTTAAATGTGCAGCCCTTATTGGAATCAAGTTTAAAATACATGTTTTAGTCCGCAAACAAAAGAAAACCTTGTCCTTGGTGTTCGTAACTTACCCATATTTTCTTCGTTATGTACGCACATCGAATGACTACGAAATTTTTGTATTTTTTTTTTTTGCAAGCTCGAAAGTGTTCGTTAACGCTTCCACGCGTTAACAATTGTAGCGCACGAATTAGTGCGTTTCACGCGCACGCTCTACTTGGTGCAAACGCTATGCACAAAAAAAAAAATTCGTGGTAATTCAGGGTGAAGGTACAGCTTGTGTCTCAACGCACTTATTAATCGGAAACGCCTGAAAACCCTAAGCCCTTCCGCCTCATGGGAGGAAGGGGTTTGAGATCCCCGTGGCCTGGCCTTTCCTCTGGGGGTGCCCCCCGGCTTCCTTTCTTCAAAATTTTTCCCTCCTTTACCAAAAAAGTGGCCATTCTTCAACGGGGGGTTCTTTTTGTCATTTTTTTTTTCTAATTTCGAAGAACTTTTTCACACACTAAAAAGATAAAAATTTTTTAAACTAGAGAAACAAAAGGTGAGTAACATCGAAAGTTTTGATCCCAAAACCCCAAATTTACGTTTTATGCCCCATGAAGGGTCTGCAAAGTTTTTCAATCAATTTTAAACCGAATTTTCGTTTTTCGTTTCATGCCGGGAATTTAATTATACTACTTCCTTTTTCCCCCATGTATTTTAAGGATATACGACCGACGAAAACAACGTATTGAGGGAGACTTCCGTTGCGATGCAAATAAGACTAAGGGAGTTGGCGGAGGGTGAGGATAGGCGGAGGCCCAGGTAAATTCGCCTTGTTCCCTAAAATGTTCATGTTATTAAAAGAAACGTTAACGGAAATGTAATTTGGCACTTCGTTTGAATATTACGGATTCGTTCGAACTTAAGGCCCTTAGGGGGTTCACATTTTTTTTGAACGGGTTTTGCGCATCAATACCCCCAAAAACGGGGCAAAATTCACATACTAACCAATAGGAGTCACATTCGTTGAATAACAGTGCAGAGAACACCAAAATGACACACACATCTGAGAATGAATGGGTCACCACCATCCCCTTTTTGGTATGCAACTTCGTTGCACAATTTGGGTGACGAAACATTATCACCCGAAATTTGACCGGGGGTTAGGTCGCCCAAATTGGGTAACGTCGACGATGCCGGAGGTCCCCGATGGCGTCCTTCCGGGGCCACCCGATGACCGCCATGTGGCGTTGAGGCCCCGGTGAGACCCGGGAAAAAAAGGGGGCCTCCCCCAACCCCACAATATTTGGGTGTCCTAAACGGTTGCAAAATTTCGGGTGATGAAAATTCCCTCTTCCAAATTGGGGAACGAAATTACATCCCCATCCAAAGGGTGATGGGGGAATCATTCGTTCTCAGTATGGACCGGCAAATAGCCTTATTAGTATCATGTACAAAATATATGGAATAATTAAGCTACTAGACCCGTATTGACTTTTCATCTCTTGCCAAACATTTTTCTGTGCTAACGTAATATGTACTATTTTCTCTTTAGCTTTGCACGTTTTTGTTCATAAAATATGGTATTTAGTCCATAAAATCTGACTGTTTGTCAATTGCAATTCACTTTTATGTTTTCTACATAATCTATTTAAAATTTTTTATTTTTAAAAAATATCAAAATTGTGCGTAGATAAAGAGAAAATGGTACAATTTACGTCTGCTCCAAAAACTTTATAAGCAAGAGAATCGAAAGTCCATATGAGACTGAGAGTGTAAGGCGTCATAGCGTCAAAAATTCCCTCCCGCTGTCCAGGCGGCATCGACGAGGACCTGCTCCCGGGCGCAGGCTTTCGTCTTCTTCCTGGCGGGCTTCAGACGTCCTCGAGCACGCTGGGAAACCTCATGACGGAGCTGGCGCACAACCCGGACGTGCGGGACATGGCGCGCGCCGAGGTGGAGCGCGTGCTGGCCAAGCACGGGGGCAAGCTCACCTACGAGGCGCTGGGCGAGCTCACCTACATGGACCGCATCATCGACGGTAAGCAGGGATCCGCACTGGAGAGAAAAGAGAGAGAGAGAGGGGAGAGAGAGAGAGAGAGAGAGGGGAGAGAGAGAGAGAGAGAGAGGAGAGAGAAAAACGAAAACGACTCTTGGTATCAGAGTTCAGCTCAGCAGCAAAATTACCCGAGGAAGCAATAATAGCTCCGGCGCCGCACGCGTTCCAAGAAAAGGCTGCCTGCGTATCGCTGGCCCCGGGCCCGGGCACCGACGCGGAAATTTTGGGCAGCGAGTCAAGGTCACTCGGCCCCAGCACGCTGTCTGGTCCCGGCCCCAGTTCCAGATAAACTTTTTGCACAAATTGGTGCGTGATTTTTTTTTCACTGCAAAAGTCGTTAGTGAAGATTCTCCTTGCAGCAGACGTTAAAACAAGCCTTTTGGAAATGCCTGCACACTATATGTATTTGTACAAATTTTGTACGAGACGTCACAGTTTTTTGTGCACACGAACTTTTCGTACAAATTTGCACAAAATTTTGTACAATTTTGTACAAAAATAGCGCAAAATGTGCAGTTTATCGTACGAAAATTTCGTGTGCACAATAAACTGTGATGTCTCGGTACAAAATTGTACATAACATTTAGTGTGTGCCTTAGATATTTAGACGAATTTCCTCTTTTATAGAGAAAATCTCCACCTAACCTAAATAAGGAAATGTGTGCAGTCATTCGTTTGAACAGTTCATCAGCACGAAAAACTTGACGCCTCGTACAAAATTGTACGTAACGTCTAAGTGCGGACCGCATAGCCAGTAAGGCCGAGCCAACAATTGAGGTACAGTTGGACTGTTAATGCACTTATGTTTCAATGATTTTTTTTTAAATGAAAGGTACTATATCTTTTTCCCATAAAGAAGAACACCTAAATATAACTTTGCTTCCCCGCATCGCCCGTGGACCCATCTTGAGCACTCTTAAAAGCCAACGAAGCTTTTGCTTCATAACGTACAAAGAAAATGAATGCGTTGTACAATTGCTTTGAATTATGAAGAAATGCTTCGTATTACGAAGGATTTTGCTTCGCAATATACGAAGCTTCGTCGATTTTACAGTGGCTTCATTTTCTTTTCGTAAAACGAAGCGATTCTTCGGACAGTTTTTACTGTGAGGATGCGCCGGGGGCACTGTAGGGACGTACTCCGCGTGTTCGCCAATTTCGCGAGAGCGCTGCCGCACAGTGGGCCGCTGCGGTTGCGGCTGGTGTGGCCACGCCGCGTGGGCAGCAGCATCGTGTCGTCCCGCCCGTCAGCGGGCAGCCAAGGCCAAGGCCGCGCCACGGCGACGCGCGGGCACGCTCCGCTCTCCGCCCCGCCTCTCGCCCGGCGCCGGCAGGTGCACGAAGTGTTGCCTACCCCGTCGCCTCCGGGCGCTACTCGCTTGACTTGACCACTAGCCGGGGCTATAGTCAGAATGGAACCCAAACGTAGAAAAAAATTCGACAAAGCTGGATTTTTGATATGTTGTAGCGCTTGATTCCCTGAGTCTGCCGCACCTTTTATTTACGTTCCAAACCCTGTGCGCCATGTCGATAATTGAACAAAAGGACGTAAGTCTTTGTACCTGCAAAATCAGATTCCTTGTCCAAAACTACGCCTCGCAAATTTTGACTTACCCATCTATCATACCCGATCTGCGACAGGCCTTCACACTTACCGCAATTCTGCCTAAAGTAAATACCTTACGTGATTGCAAAACTTGAGAAGGCTGCCATTTCCAAACTACTGGAGCCACAGCGGTAAAATTTCACACTAACTCAACACTCAACACTAACCTAGCTTCACCTACCAGTATCCTTGAGGGGATAGAAGTATATTATGATGAAGTTCTACAAGTAAGTATCCAGAATATAGAACGTGAATTCCTACCACTATTTGGATAAAAGTAACAGCGTGTCAATTGCTTCTTTTTGCAGAAATTTGTACAAGCATCCCCTGATGTAACATTTGAACTGGTAACTGAGGTCACTGTAGAGCCTCGAGGCACTCAAGGTGGGAATGAGTCCCAACCACAACCAGCACCAAATCAAGCCGTCAATCACTCAACTTCAGTCTTGGCCTCAGCGACCTCACCCTCGGCACCCAGTACCAGCACTGCTGCAGGACAGCTCTTCTTCAAGAGAGCCAAAAGAAGAGCTTCTCAGATGAGTGAAGTTTTGTCTCTGTCAAAGGAGTTCGTGAAACCTTTGCCAGAGCCCACTCCTGTTGAAAATGACTCAGCGACTAATCTGGATTAGAGAAGGTCACTGATGAGCCTCAAGACACTCAAGGTGGGAATGTGTCCCAACCACAACCAGAACCAAATAACTCAACTTCAGTCTTGGCCTCAGCAGGCTTTCCAGAAACAGTTCCACGGGAAAAAGGGCCAGGCGAAGAGGCAGGCGGGGAACGGACTCTGTAAGAAGAAAGGCGCTACCCTGCAGCCTGCGGCGGCGCCATGCTTCGCCATGCTGCTGTACGAGCCCACGGACGTTGCAGCAGGGTCCGCCCCGAGGCCCGAAGCACCGACTACCCAGCCGCTACGACACCTGCCGGCGCTCTCCGTTGATTCGCGTTTACGTGGTTTTATCCCCCTCCACCGCCATCTCACCTGGGCGCCATGTCCACCTTCAACTACGCGGACCTTTCAAACGTGCAGGACGACAAGTGCATGGTAGTTGAGTGTATAAATGAAGACAAATCGCCTTTTGCTGTCGGCTTTGAGTCCTGGGTCCCTAAGGAAGCCTTGAACAAAGGGCAGCAGGCCCGTGTGAATGAAGATACCCCGGTGTGGTGGCCGAAAAATTGGGATCGGGCCGACGCCCGCAAGACGAAGAAGGCACTGAAGAAGAATCAGGGTGAGTGGTCCCTCATCGTGGTCAGAATTCTGGCATTTGGAGGTAAGCTCTTTGTCAGGTGCACTCGCGCCCTTGCACCTTATGGCGGCCACCCTGCATAGGTTAATTTTAGTGCTGGGGACTTATACTTATTTTTCTTGTTCAGGTTTTGTTGAAATGAACACCCAGGCCCGTTGCAAGGCGGATCCCAGCCACCCGCCGCCTCGTCGCGCATGGTGCCGGCCGCCTCAGGATGCCGAAGCTCGGCGAACCCCGTCTACCGTCCCACTAAAGGCGGGTTCACGAGTTGCTTGCGGCGAGCTGCTCTGCGTTGCGGTGACCTGCGACGCGTTGGCGCTTCGCATCAAACGCGTGGGCGCAGGCGGTGCCGTTCAGGAGTTCCTTGCGCGCGCAGGTCGCTGCGTTGCGGTGACGAGCCCTGCGTTGATTTTCAAACAGGCTTGATATCCTCCGCAAGCACGTCGCCGCAACGCAAGGACGGGAGGAGTGGGGGGCCTCCCACGTGACGGTTCCAGCCAATCAGGGTGGAGGAATGAGAAGAAAGAGAAAGAACTTTGCGCGCGAGTTTGTTGTTGTGACTCACTCAAAGGACTGATAGGCTAGTAATATAAATTAAATATAGAATAAGACGAAGATGCCGACTGTTACAGTTAGAGACACTGCGAGAAAAGATCACGGTAAATCCTGTACTGATTACTCCAGACTTCACCGTACATTTTTTAACAGGCAAAACCGTCGTTTTTTTACAGGCAATACCGTTCTTTTTTAACAGGCAACACCGTACTTTTTTTTACAAAGAATCCCGTACTTTTTTACCCGGCAATCCCGTACTTTTTTACCCGGCAATCCCGTACTTTTAATACCTATCAAAAACTGCTATAACTTATTTCAGTCGGTCGACCCTCGTTTTTTCAAGATTCTGATGAACATAACTGCTGAAGTCGGACTCCTGGACCCCCCTTCCGACCACTCGTTGAAAAGGTCTTGACGAGACCTATCGAAAGGTGCAATAGAATTTTTCAGTCGGTCGACCCCCTTTTTTCAAGATCCTGATATGGACAATTCTTGGGAGCGGCCTTTGTTGGGACCAGATCTGGTCCTTCCTACGGCATGCACTGTCCGAAAGAACGGTAACTACTGTTAAAAAAATACGGAATATTTTGTAAAACAAGTACGGAAAAGACTGTACGGTGGATACTGGTTTTTGAAGTACGGTAAAGTTTGGCAAAAAAATTATCCAGGATTTACCGTCATTTTTTCTCAGAGTGGAAGTTGGCCAAGAAGGCGGAACGCGAGGCCAAGGAGGCGGAACTTGTCCGCGTGAAGAATATAATCATCGCAAAGTTCGAGCAGAACCCGGTCCTCTACGACCGGGAAAATGCCGAATACAAGGATCCGAAACTCCGCGAGGAAATAATAACCGGCATCGCCCAATCCCTGACGACAGAAAGTCACAAGTGTAAGTGTCCTCTCGAAACTCTGATAATTGTTCAATTTTTGTGTACCTTTGTCTTGGCGCGTTGTATTTAGGTTATGGTTAGGTTATGGTGTTCGTTGCAATTCTTACATTTTGCTTGTGTCTGCTTGTTTCTCGCCAGTGTTTCATGCCCTCAATTTTCCTACTTTTTGTTTCCACAGACTCATCCACAGATGTGTCCAATCTATGGAAGAATTTACGAGATGGGTTTGTGAAGGAGAAACAGACCAGGAACAAGGAGAACGTTAGTGGCTTAAAAGGAAACAACAGAAAACCATTCCCATTCTACGATCAGATGCAGTTCGTAGAACCATACGTGAGGCATAGAAGGTACGATTTTTGATATGTTTAAAATTATACTTATATGTTTATTCTAGTGTGAAATCCCACACAACACAAAAACTACACTGAGAAAAAAGTCTGGTTAAAAGTACCAGACCAATCCTAGTTAAACGAGTACTAGTTACTCATACGAGAATCCTAGTAACTCTCACCAGATGATCAGTTGCAGTAACCAGATCGGGTGTTGTGACATTTACCAGGTGTCGGGTTTAAATAACCTGGAAAATTTTTACCAGACTGTTCAGTAATTGGCACCATACGTAAAACTTCGAAATATTCGTTTCAATTGAAATGTTCGGGTGTCAAAAAGTAAACTGCAACCGGTTTCGTTATTTTCGGAGTCTTAAATCCGAAAGAAACACTGGGAGTATTTCCCTGAGCCAGACACGTAGAGAGTCACCTGGTGGGGATCCCCTCGACCCACAGGCGACGTGGTGGCGCAGTGGTAACGTGCCCGTCTCACAAATGTGAGATCCCGGTTCGAATCCGGAGGAGAGGAGGAGGGAAAAAAACAATTCAGAAGTTGTTCGTTAACGAAATCGACGTCACATCAGGTTTCAACACTACGAAAAAATATTTTATTAAATTTTGGACTTCTTACTTTAGATTTGTAAGCACATTAACTAACCAGGATGTTTGGTAAAAACTACCAGAAGGGGACCTGGCGGCATTGTAAGGATAACTATAAATCTGGTACGGTTTACTAGACTGAGGCCAACAAGACAGTTTAGTATTTTTTACCAGAATTCTAGTTGAGTTATATTCTATCAGACAGTCTGGTATTTGGTACCAGGATTCTGGTTATCGTTACTAGACTTTTTTTTCAGTGTATTGTGAACTTGTTGTTGTTGTTTTAGGAGCCTCTGCACCACTGATGGAGATGGAGAGGACGGTGATGCTTCACAAAATGACTTAATTGAGAATCAGGAAGAAGAGGAGACCCTGGAAATTGCGGATGCCTTAATTGAGGTTGTGATGGTTACGGACAGTGAGGGGACCAATCTCCAACCATCAGAACAAGCAGTGACTGAGGCTCAGTCTATACCAGGTATTTTATCTTTCCTCGTTTTAACTTCTAGTTTCACTAGGAATGGCTCAACAGCTGTTACGTAAATCTGACTGACTGAACTATTTGCAGGCAACGACGCAGCAAAGGATCACTTATTTGGGGCAGGGATAAAGCGGAAGAATACCGAGGAACCAGCTCCAGCGGCAAAGAAGTCTGTTTCCCTCTCATCAGTGCCCGTTCTGTCACCAGCAAAAAAGAGGGGGGTGCATTTATCTAGAAGTACAGCCAAGGAGAGGGATAACATAAACAACGGGCTGAAACAGGCGCTGGATCAAATCCAGAAAAGTATGACAGCTGTAAGTGATCCTGATGCAGCGTTGGGTGAATCCATTGTAGCTGCTCTTTCTGCCATCACCGATATAGACAAAAAAAGAAGTGGAGGGGGTTTTTGAGGCAAGCTATAAATTTTGGAAGATGAATGTTAAGGAAGGACAGCCCACAGTGGACAGTATTTTCATGAGAGTTTGAAAAGTGCTTTACTTTATGGAATACATGTTCTGCACTCTCTCACTTCTTGAAAATTACTAGTCCTGGGTGACATTTCTGGCTGTGAGAAAAGTGCAGTTTTTCCATACATGTAAAGCACTTTTCAAAACTAATGTGAGACTGAACATCTGTGAATTTAATTTTGCAATTATTTTGCAAATTCTTTCTTTTTTCAATTTTTTGTTTTTATTGGTTATTACTTTATTTTAGTTATTGTAAGTTTACTTAACATTATTGTGTTTTTTAAAATTTTTGTTGTACATCACTCTTGTGATTTAACCCTGTCGTTTGGGTATTTTTTTGAATACTCAATCATTCATTAGTATTTTTGTGTTTTATTTGTATTACATGCCTTTTTATGTATTATTTGCTGTTCATCACTCTTGTGATGTTGGGCATACTGTACGGGTACTTTCCTTTTAAAAATAAAATAGAAGTGATTGAAATTATCTCAAATTTATTTACACTTGTCAGTACAATAGATTTTTACACATTTTAGCACGACTGTGGAAAGTGATACACTAGTCTGATTCAACATCGCTCTCACTTTCCTCAGCTTCATTATTATTATTGCCCGTGAGACGGGCACCCCAGAAACCATTTCTGACTTTCTCCTCCTGCCAGGGAATGGCTCAAACACTATTGACATAATTTTTCAGAATCTCTCGAGCTACTGTTGCACATGTTGGTGGGTTTCGAGCTCGAGTTCGGGGAGCAGCTGTCATTGCACCCGCTTCACCAGCTACATGACAACGCCACAAGCCACTCTGCACTGAGCCATCGTCCATTTCTCTATCAGGGAACCTATCAGGAATGTATCGATCCCTTGTAATTTTATCCCGAGATCGTATTATGAAATTATGCAAACAAACTGAGGCCAAATAATTAAGTCAGCAGTGTCCACCTTACAGCAAATAGGTGCTTTAAAAATTCGCCACCTTGCAACAAGAATTCCAAATGCATTTTCAACCACTCGTCTAGCTCTACTAATTCTATAATTATACACAGCATCTTCCATTTTCATCCTACGTCCAGCATAAGGCTTCAGTAAATTTGTCCTCATTTGAAAGGCACCATCACCCACAAAGAAATGCTCCAATTGTGTTTGTGTGCCAGGCAAGCACTCCTTTTCAGGAACATTCAATTTTTTATCATACAGTTTAGAACCAGACACAGAATCTTTGAAAATTGATCCATCATTAAGTGAGCCTTCAGCTCCAACATCAACAGCAATGAAAGCACAGTCCGCATCAGCAACAGCCATCAAAACAATGCTGAATGTTTTTTTGTAGTTAAAATACACACTTCCACTTGCTTGAGGGCTTTGTATCGTAACATGTTTGCCATCTATTGCTCCAAGACAGTGAGGCAAATTCCATTTGGTCAGAAACCTGTTTCAAAAAAATAATTACAAATAAATTTATGAAACGATACTGCTAAAACATCAAATTATCACAGTAACAGGCTTACTCTGAGGCAATCTCCTTCCACTGGTCTGGCTCCGAAGGAGTGCGCACAAAGAACGTTGAAGAACCTTGATAATAGCTTTGAGGGTTTCTCGAATGATATTGCTGACTGTTGATTTTCCACATCTATATGAGAAACTGAGGGATGTCATGCAGTCCCCCACTGCCAAATAGCTGGACAACAGAGGATGATATACTGTCAAACTTCTGTCAAACTACTGTCAAGCACTGTCAAACTTGCAAGACATTCTAACATTGAAATAAGTACCATACCGTAAGGTCATAGCCAAGCGTTGATGAGGAAGGATTACTGTTTTCATATTCTTTTTCTTTTTAAGTAGAGGGTGGACAAGTCGCAGTAAAAACTCAAATCTGAAACAGGCCAAAGTAAGTACAGGTTATGTTCGTTGACCACAACATACACGGAGCAAAACATACTTTCGCGACATAAAATTTGACTTACCGTTGGTACGAGAGCCGAGTGTAGTTAAAAAACAGAGCTGAGTCAAATCTAAGTTCATTTATGAGATTGTGACCATCACCAAGTTGAATCCGATTTCTGAACAGCGGCCTGACACCCATCTTTCTACGAACGGCATATTTCTTCCTCAGTAGAGTCAACAGGTTAATAAGAGCCGCTAAAAGTTGTTTGGTTTGCTTTCTACCTCCTCTACCTCTCATTTTTAATTTAGCTGCCAAAATGACAATAGGCGAACCGACAAGAGTGTCAACAAACACAAACGCACCGCTCGCCAAGCTCGCTGACTGGGCCTGCTGATAGTGTAGACTAGCGTTTCATCGAAGGCGGTGCACGGCTGAACGCAGCGCCGTCTTCCGCAACGCAAAGAAACTCGTGTGCAGGCACGAATTCCGGGCAGCTTGCCGTAACGCGTCGCAGGTCACCGCAACGCAGAGCAGCTCGCCGCAAGCAACTCGTGAACCCGCCTTAAGTGTGATGGGAGCCGTGAATGAGGTGGCCAGCTCCAGCAGCAAGGCCAGAGACAGGAATCCAGAGACCTTAGTTGAGGCACAGTTGCTCCTCAGCCGATGTCACTGTGAAGAGGTGTCAAAAGGGGTGGTCTCTATTGTGGCTCAGAAACTAGTATTCAAAGTGGTGGATCGGGTGGTAGTAAAACATTTCCAAAAAGTGCAGGGGCAGCCAGTGACCAGTGACAAAGGAGTGACAAGTGGTGGAATGCTGTGAGTGAAGTGGTGAGGAAATGTTTTCGGATTGGTGGTGACTCAGGTGTGCATGTGGAAGGTAGTGAGTGAACAAAGATTTGGAGCAAGGTGGGGCTGACTCATCAGCAGAAATGCTCTTCACTTCTTCATGAATGTTGCCCAAATCCTAGATGGCATGGAGGAGTCATCTCCAGTTGCCTCGCATAGACAACTTCTTGAGGCAGTTTTCCATGATGTCGACCTCATGAAGAAGTGGGACAATGTGTGCGACGGGAGGCTGCGCCAAGAAGACTCCTTGCGCCTCATGGAGCTCATTTGCAGACAATTCTGCAACACCCATGCGCGCGGTGTTATCAAGAAGAGGATAATAAATTGAACAGGTTTCCACCAGTGCAATTGCGTGCTAAACTGGCCAGTAGTATTTATCCTTTGTTAACTTAGTCAGCGCCTTTGTCTGCTACACTTGTGGCAAAGATTTCACAAGGCAGTATAATTTGAAAGCTCATTTGGAAAAAGTGCACATAGTCAACGTCTCAAAAAGCATAATTTTGTTTGTAATATGCCAAATTGTGAGCAAAGTTGACCTCTATGATCATCTTCGGATTTACCACAAAGCTGACCTGAAGCCTCCTCAAACTTACAATTTTCAATCAGTTAAAGAATTGAGGAAGTGTAAATCTCAAATTCAGGACAGCTCCTTGTCATTCTTTTCAATGCAATATGGTCCTCAGGAGGGGGAGAGTGTAATATTACAGTCAACATGATGGTCAAGTGAAGACGCACACAAAAGGGGATGAACGTGTGAGGAAAACTGATCGAAAGAATTTAAAGGGTTGCATCAAGAAAGATAAGGTATGTTCGGCCACGATGTCCGTCTACCACCTGAAAGATGGTTGTGTCCGTGTTGAATACCGACCTACTCATTCTCATGTGCCCCATCCAAGAGATTCACGTCACCAACCAACCACTCTCTGATGAAACAAATGATTTCATAAATATGCAGCTGGATTGGAGTGCCAGAAAAATTTGGTTAGGTCTTAGAGATAATTCCTACAAACGGGAAAATTGATTTGAAAAACCTAATCTAAACGGAACAATTTTGTCAATCTAAAGGCCATAAGTGAGAGAAGACGGAAGAAGTTCGCAGCGGCTGGGTATGCTGGCAGAGTGGCTTAGCACCTGCTTCAGAACAATCAATGACCACAAGTATCAAAATCAAAAAAAGGAAAACCAACCCGGCATTGCATGCCAAAAACAAAAAGGAGCACGCCGGCAACAATTTCAATAAAAATCTGGCGTGGGAGAGCATTGGCGCTGCTCAGACGCCTCCTATGACTGGTAGGTTTCTCAGACAAATGAATGCATGAATGAAATAAGGTCATATGTTCAATGGTCGAGAGGTTATGTACCCTCTTTGCTGCAGCTGAAGAGGCGGAGAAAGCCTGGTATAGGTTGAGACAGAAGTTTGGGAAGTAGTGGCAGCGCCACAAGACTAGCGTCACTGGGCGAAGCGGGGCAGCAGCAGGACCTCTGTACAGGTCATCGTGGCCTCTGTGCGGGGACCTGCTGTTCCTGGCGGACCATATGTCCCCCCGAAGGTAAGTACTTAAAAAGGAGAAATGATGTCATCGATTGCAACTTTTGATTGATGTAACTTAATTCTTGATGCTCTCTTTCAGAACTGTCAGCAACTACAAACGGGCCTCCTCAAGCAGCAGCTCAATGAGCCAGGTGCCAATAATTTCTTGGTCAACGAAGCCGACACTGCCCCAAACTGAAGGTATTGAATTGATTAACTCTTAAATAATTTGCTTTTCCTTAACATCGCACTCGTGATTTTTAAAGTTTTTTCCCTAAAAAGAGAACAACGCTTTACCTTTTATTATCCATTTTTCCAGTTTGTTCCTTTCGGTGTGAACTTGGGCAGCTGCAGCAGCCGCTGGCGGAAGAGCGCGGCGCCGTGGAGAGGCTGTGCGCGGAGCTGGACGAACTCCGCGGGGACAACCGCCAGGACGACCAGCGGGAACGGCCGCCACCGCAGCCTCAGCAGCCCTCGACGGTGCGACGATGGCAGCATTTCCGAAGGCGTTGAGTGACCTGCATGATTTCGGAGTGAGATACTTCGATATCAGCAGGGAGCAATACCTTGAGCCCGGAAAGCTCTTTGACACCATGGTGACTGACGGTGACATCTGTCGTACAGGAGCGTTCGTGGTTGTTTTCAACCTCCAATTCGGAAATATTTTTTGATAGGTGCAAAATGTGTGCTTGTACTCCACATGTTTTTTTTGTTCTTTCCAGGGGAGACTGCACGAATCTTGTGCGCCTTCCAAAGCGGATGTTGAGAACAGCTTGGAGGCCATCAAGACTTTCTTGAGGCGTGACCTGCCGAAGGGCGAAAAAACGCGTCAATTCAACCCTGATGTGCAGTTAAGGACTCCACTACGACCGGAGACAGGCAGCTACCTGATTGAAGCCCTCGGCTCAGGCGACAAGAGGACTAAATCGTATGAAAAGCAGAGGGCCAAGTTCATGAAGGCCGTCCGGTCGACGGACTTTTTTTCGGAGGAACGCACATCATTGTAAGTACCTGGGCTTCAGTGCAAGTCGAATTTTTCGGTCATGTTAAATTTGTCAGGGTATCAAATTGTGCCTTGTTTTTTGTTTTGTTTTTTTTTAGGGAAATGGAGTTTTTCAAGGAGGGTGGGGGAATTAACGCAGCCCTCGACAAATTTTTCCACATTTGTGGGAGAAAAAGGTCATCGTCTATGGGGCGAACCTAGACCGTCCCGAGATGCCCACAAGCCCAGGACTGGGCATGAAAGCTGTACGGAATGCCATAACCCACTTGAAATACGCTGAAACCGAGGAGGGACCGGCCATGGAGGGTCCCGTCTCGGGTTTAACGGAGCCAGTACTTTACCTGGGGACTGAAGGATCTAGCTTCAATGTCCACATTGAAGACAGGTCCTTCGAGTCCATCAACAGGCTTGTAGCTGGTGCAATCAATGGTAAGTAGATCAACGTTTGGCTGCTACATTTTTTTTCTAACGGCGACGCCCTAATCTCATAACCGTTTTGCGAATTTTGTGCCGTTTCCAGGTTTGTCATTCCTCCCAGGTATCTGGAAGCCTTTCTCTATCTGGGGAGGACTTCGGGCATCCCAAACCATGAATACCGGTGCTATCAAAACGTCCAACATAAATTCTAGTTTGTGGACCCCAGAGTGGTGGTACAGAACGGCATTCCCGTCTTCACGGTAATGAAATGTTTTTTGGTTTTTTTTTGGTTTTTTTTTCGTTTTACACTTCACCTTTTCGTCTTCATCATTGATGTGGTGAGAGCAGAGCGTTACGTGCAACTTGTAAATTTTCAGATCGCGCAGCAGCCCGGTGACATCGTGTACGTGCTCCCGCACACGATTCACTGGGGCTTCAATCTTGAAAGCAACGTGAATGAGTCCATGAATCTCGTGTCCAGCTCCTGGATTCCCCACGGACTAAATTCTCGTGGTCGCTGCAGATGTCCCAAGTAAGTCGTTTCCAAATTTTCATCATTGAGAAGGTCGTGTGGACGCGGGAAAGCATTTGTTTATCATTAAAATTATTATTCATTTGCAGTGTCGACGGAAACTTCGCGGAGCACTTCCTGGAGGATATGTTCAGAGAGTTGAAAGTCTCCTGGGAACACATTCTGTGTTTCAAGGAGAATTTCCGGCTTCCTCTCTCTAAATTGTACCGAAAGGAGGTGCATCCCAGGTCGGGAGTGCCATTTGACGCCGCGATCAGCATGAACAATTTGCTGGGTCAGGATTTCGATGGAGACGAAGTGAGTAACGTCTGAAGCATGGGGGAACCGCATCGTGACTTTGACTTCACTTTTTTTCTTTTACGAACAATTGTTTTTTCTCCCCCGTGTAGATCGGGAAACCTGCAGTTCGGGTGCAGTGGCCTGGCCCCTTTGAACGACGAGGCGTCCTCGAGGTGGGGCTGACTCATCAGCAGAATTGCTCTTCACTTCTTCATGAATGTTGCCCAAATCCTAGATGGCATGGAGCAGTCATCTCGAATTGCCTCGCATAGACAACTTCTTGAGGCAGTTTTCCATGATGCCGACCTCATGAAGAAGTGAGACAATGTGTGCGACGGGAGGCTGCGCCAAGAAGACTCCTTGCGTCTCATGGAGCTCATTTGCAGAGAATTCTGCAATACTCATGCGCGCGGTGTTATCAAGAAGAGGATAATAAATTAAACAGGTTTCCACCAGTGCAATTGCGTGCTTAACTGGCCAATAAATAGTGTATCCTTTGTTAACTTAGTCAGCGCCTTTGTCTGCAGTCAGAACAGAGCGATGGGACTCTAACATGAAGCTGTATGCAGGGATTGTCAAAAACACGGAGCTTGGCTCCCGGCTGGAGGACGCTGTTGATTTCGTGGCACAAGATGCACTTTATCACAATGAGTGCTTTCTAGTGCTGAAACCCGAAGCTAAGCGTAAACTATCAGAGAAAGATGAATCTGAGAATATAGTAGAAACAAGAACAATGGCCCTCTCAAAAATAATTTCTGATCTGTGTCAGGCCAAAATGACTGTGGACTTATCAACGCCACCCGTATTCTACATGTCTGAGATTCAAAAAAGGTTCAAAAAGTGCAAGGGTGGTTTGGGTGACTGCCATTCTACTCGCCTCCGTAAAAGGCTCCTTGCAGCTTGCCCTCTGAGTCTGTCAAACCGGAAAGAAACGGATCGGTCATGACGTTCAAAGGGGACGCCTGCACCGCGATCCACTCGCTGTCCAGGACAGGCGATAACTGGAACACTGTTTTAGAGCAAGCTGCCAACACACTGCGGGACGCCAGATTTTCCAAGAATAGAACTACTGTGAATGGCTATTGTGAGAGGAAGAAGGCTCAACACCATTCACAAAGCATACTAAGTAGAACAAATCCATTCCACGATAAAATCCCTGATCCTCTCATTCTTCTGTTCTTTTGGAAGAAAAACAACGGCCCGCTGCTGGACATATCACAGGTGCAGAAAGTGACTGAGCAGGCTTGTCGAGAAAGCCGGACCTTCGTGCAGAGGTTGGCAAGGGCAGACAGGGAGAGGCGAGCCGCGCAGCCTCATACCTCCGCGCATTTATTTCCCCACACCAACCAACCCCCCCCCCCCCCCAAAAAAAAAAAAAAGAAAAAAAAATACCCGGTTCGGGGGCAGGACGATTTCGACAAGGATGCCATCCGGCGCCGCATCTATGGATTTATTTCAAGAAAAGTAAGATCGGCTCTGTCAAGACTGTTGCCTTCCGTTCACGATGCTGGACTGTTTGTTGGCCAATCCAGAGCAAGTTTGGCACAGTCGGTGTATTCCAGACTACTCGCGCGTCCCTTTGTGCCTCAAGGGGTGCGGGCTGTGTTTTGGTGGATAGGCCCTTTTCGCGTGGGCCCGAGGGCTCTACGCGGTCTGTTGGGGTAGTCTTGTGCGCGTGCTTGACGGCAATGGACGCGTTTTACGGACAGCAGCGTCACTGCGTCGCGCGCCTTTCGTCTTTCGCGGTCCATTCCCTTCCGACTCCGATTTTGTTGGAGTGCATCGCGCGCGGTCCTCGTCTAGTGCGTAACCAGTGTGTGCAAGCGTATTGCTATAGATAACTGGATATTGCTATCTCTGATTGTGGCACCGTGGCTGAGGCCGGGCTCAGCGAGCTTGGCCGCTTTATAAATTTTGGCGAGTCTATTCTGACTTTGCACCTGCTGTGCAGTCACCCCGGGGGGGTGGCTTTTTCAGGACGTGGCTGAACTATCCAATTTGGATGCTTTTATTGCCCGTTAGCCTTTAATAGTAACGGCACAACCTCAGGCAAATCGACGCGCAGAGGCGCCGGAAGGGAAGCCTACCTGTCAGGCGCTCCGACCAGCTCTAATGTCGCCACAATGTTTCTCTTTTTTTCCAGGCGTGGAGGAAACCTACAGGATTCTAGACGCTTTAATCGAACTATTAGCTGGGGCATACGCCGACGACAATTGGGTCGAAAAAGGAGAGTTCCTACAGCTTATAATTGACAAATTTTCAGTCCTCCAGTGGTTAGACTGCGGCAGGTACTGCGGGTTCGTGGACGCCCTCAGTCTACTGTTGGAATTTGCAAGCAAAATACCAACAGACTACCCGCTCAACCTGTCCTGGCAAGCAAGAGCCAGGACAATCTTTTGGCAATTACAGTTCGCCAAAAGAAACCATGTAACCAACGGACGCTGCAAGCCGTAAAAGTATATCATTTGCTATAATGTTTCTTTTCCCTGCAGCAGTAGCGCCAAGCTTACCGAGAAAGACAACAACAGAACTACGACGACAATGCACTGACGATAATTTTCGCTTTCAGCCCCCCAACAAGACTTGAGAGAACTGCAGACAGTTCTTGGTGATTTTCAAATGCATTTTAGGCCTTTACTGCACTGAAAAAACAAATGCGGAGAATTCCGCATTTGAAATGCGATTTAGGTAAGTGACCGCATGAAGTGATGCGGTCTACATGATACGTGATATCTACATGACTGGGTTCCCAAATAATATTGTTTAAGAAGTTAATGAGATGGCCAAGTAAACGTAACCGCTTTGAGGATGGACTGCGAAGGGAAGTTGCCACTGCTGTAGATATTGTGGGATCTTG